TCATACATGCAGACTACAGTGTTGTGTTGCACAGTTCAGAAAACATAAAGTCACCACTAACATAAGTGCAAGCGAGTCATCAAGAACTGAAGTCAACCACTCAGAGACTTTTCTGTTGGATTATGTTGGACTACAAACTGATTATTTGACCAAGGAATCCACCTTGATGCTTGTTGGCTACCATTGATGTGAAATTAAGCATTTATTATCCCAATTACTTTTACATATTCTTGATGATATTAGACATGCATCTTGTTGAAATTAAATTAAAAAAAAACATATGATTTGTTCAAATTGTTTTCTAATATTGACAGTTTAGTGAAGGAGGTATGGTCAATCTGCTGTAAATAAAAAGACATTACATTAATGATCTACACTCATGGCAGGGCTTGAAGAAGCAAATAATAAATTATGTTTTAGTTTTCAACTTCCATCATGAAAAAATGCCAAGTAGAATCTTGACAAATAGTATAAAATATCAACTCTTAATTTATCTACTGTGGAAGCTGAGACTATATATATTGAACTTTCTTCAAGTTTCCACAATGCGGAAACTATAGTATACTAATTGTATATCAAATGTTTAGGCACGCTGAAACCATTCATATACTTCAAATTTCATCAAGATTCCGCAATGCGGAAACCATAGTATGCTGCATGTATATCAACTGTTTACGCATGCTGAAACTTTACATATTCTTCAAGTTTCATCAAGTTTCAGTTGCGGAAACCATTTGGATTCGTGGACACTTTAAGTTTCCGCACTGCGGAAACTTGATGAAACTTGAAGTTTCAGTACTGAAACTTTGCGGAAACTATTAGTAAGCTTAAGTTTCCGCAGAGTTTCAGCAGTGTTTCAGCCATGCGGAAACTGTTTTTTTCATCCATATACCGATCTCGCATATATATCAATTTTGTATATGCATACATATATGAGTATCTCGTTTTCAACATTTTATTTTCATCTAATTGGAGACAACTTATTTGTCACCCTGTGTGTGAGGGGGACATCTAGATTGTCTCCCTAATCGTGATAAGTTGTAAACCAATCAGATTGACCGTATCATTCTTAGGGATAATAATCATCGCTTTGAAATCCTTATTCTTATATTACCTATGTCTTTGGGTCATCTGTGTCACTCAGATAACCTACTGTTTTCTATTTACGTCCGTCGTCATGCATCATGAAATAGAATGTCTGTCGACCATTGTAAGCCTTTGAATATTTTAGCTGAGCTGAACAGTTATATTTTTTCTTAACCCTGCGCATCAAGCAAACTGTTGGCATAATTATATTAACCAATGAGCCCTATAAACACGATTGAGAAAAACATGGCCACTGGACTCATAAATCAGGCTCTAGGGTGAAGTTAAGTTGACCATTTATTGAAAATGCATTTTATCCTGCCTCTGAAAAAAATATTGAAATTTCACTGGTCGAGAAGAATACTGTATAAAATCATATGTTGCCCACTGACATGAAATTGTTTAATATGCCCCCTACACGTGACTTACTGACCACATATTAAATCAATATACGCCCAGCACGTGCCTTACTGTCCAAATATTGAATTCAAAATGTTGTTTTCACTTGAACTCGCAAGGAGCCTAATAACTGACGTCACATTAGCATCAAACGGTGTCAAATGTAAACAATTGTTACATACAGTTTGCTTGACTCCGAGAAAATGAACTTTATTGGAAAATCCTCTACAGGATAAACTCTTTATGTAGACACCTACACTTTACCAAATAAGCATTTTCAAGGACCCTATATATATTTCCGTATTAACCTCTAAGTGTCTAATTTCTAATAGTATGTATATCTTATGAAATTCTTTTCTTATTCATTGATATCCAGCAAGCAAATTGTTTGCATGATTATCCTTTCACCAAAATTGCAAAATTTATGGCCTATGAGTCCATGTTTCAGGCCATAGAGTGGGATTTTGTCGGTCATACATGTATCTTAAAAATGTTTCATTTCATTTTGAAAGTATTCTTTTGTATTCTTTGGCACCTAACAGACATTATAATTGTCACTTAGCCCTCCATAAACGTTGCGTAATTCATGTCCACAAGGCCCATGGTTTAGGCTTCAGGTGGGGCTAATTTTGTCATCTGTTGAAAATACTCTTTTTAAAAGAACATCTATCGGGCACACTGATTATATGTTTACACTGGTTACAATGAATTCTCACTTGCGATTTTTTTTTTTTACAAATGTTGTAAAATTCATTTTCTTGGGTCTATCCTTGAGGTGCCCTACATAGTGGAGTTTGTCCTTTATTGGGAACTGATTACGCGAATAAATTTTTGTTATCCATAGGCTTCTGGTAGACAGCAAACTGTTTGCATGGTAATAACAAACACTTAGCCCTTTACCAAAACTGTAAAATTCATGGGTCCCCTGTCCATCAGGTTCAGGCCAATGCAGGGTGAAGTTAAATATGTCTTAAATTGTTAGCTCATTATTTTCTTTCAGATCTTCATTACAAGCAGGCAATTTGTTTGCATGATTATAATGAGAAATCTAAGCACTCTGCAAAAATTGTGAAATTTATGTTCTCGGATCCAGTGATCAGGCCCCAGGGTTGGGCTGCGTTCCCCTTATATTCTTTACTTTAGAATTCTGGGACAAAAGCGACATGAATATTATAATCATAATTAAGTCTTCACGAAATTAAACAAAATGTCATGAAATCATAGTTCCAGATCCATTTGGGACGAAAGTGGTATTTGTATTGTTATTTGAAACTCATGATAGTCATGAGATCGTCAGCGATCAAGGCCCATGGGCCTATTGTTATTAGTAATCGCTGTGCTCACTCAAACAAGGAAGATAAAATACAACAGGATTTTCTTGTCGAATTCAAACACCTTTATAATAGTCTAAAACAAGTTCTTTGTCATATTACAGTTGTTCTCTCAAAGCTCTTCAGAATTGAATTTGAAAATGCTTTAATTTTATTGCCATGTATAAGTCGTTATGTATGGTATCAAAGCTCGTGGAAGCAAACGAAAATTTATGTTTGTGTGGTTTTTTTTTAAGTTTGCTTGTTTAATTTGCATACTCCAACCTTTTCAATTTCTGTTAATTTCCGTTACGATTTTTTTTCAATCTTTTTTCATGGAATTGTTGATGTTAAGCACTGTTGAATAATCATTCTTCGCGGATCTTTTAAATACATTGTAGTTCACGAAAAGTAGTTTATTTACATTTTGAACTAGGGTTAATTGTTTACGCACCTTTAAATATATTCATCACTGCTACAGGAACTAATCCTCTACTTGGCAATACAACGCATCAAGAGATAAAGGTTTGTGAAGAGAATGATCTGGATACGGAGGCCTGTCGTCTGCTGAACTCTACTGATCCCAACATTTGTCAGAACAACTGTATCGCTGCCACGCTATGTCCTTCTTTCTGTGGAACTTGTCGTAAGCTCAATTAATTTAATAATATACAAGTCATAATGAACTCATTCCAATCTACATTGGTCAGAAAGTCTAAGAAATAACGATCTGTGAATACTTTACTTACAGTTCATTGTAGAGATTGCAAATCAGTTCCTGATCCCGGTTCCTGCACAAATACTACATTATGTAAAAAAAAAGTCAGGTATGATATGTAATTACCGTTTTTAGTATGCATATAAATCATTTTTACATAATAGATTGTATACTTAATTTATCTTAATAGTTTTATGTATTGTACAGAAAAATCACATTGAAGACATACATCCATTTTTCTTTACTTTGATTTTTTCTTTATTAAAAAAAAAATCATGATTTTCCTTTTTTAATGATTATTCATGTTATAACAAACACACTTGGAAAAGTTCAGATTTTCTTCTAGAATTAATTACCTTTAGCCTTTTTGTATTCTTACTATTTGCCAAAATTACAGTTGATTATTTAACAAAAAGAGCCTAAAATTTACTTAAAATGTGGGGTTTAAAGCAAATCAACGTTATAATAAAATCATATCAATAGTTTTCTGGCTTTTCCTACTAATTGCCTTTTTTTTATTATCATGTATATAGACTATACATGACTATGATTCATACGAACAAATATTTCATAGCCTGTACCTTTTCGATTGAGCATATATTCCTCAGATGTAGAGTGTTAGAGTGCTCTAATAGTTCATTAGTTACAATTTTCCACCAAAAATTAAAATTTTAAAACAAATCATGAAAAAACAAAGTAAACAGTTCACACAAGACATGATTACTGGCAACGACGTCAAGAAACAAAGTTTTTATTGCTCTTTATCAAATCTTCATTAAATTTGGATTGAGTGTTTGTTTCTTTTCGATCTATATACTTGTATGGAAGTTTTCACATTTACTTCTGTGGATATAGCGTTGTACATTTCAAGTTTATCTAGCAAATGAATTAAATCTCTTTTTGATCAAGTACTTTTTTAAATGTTTAAGAATTTGGGAATAAATGTAGCTTTATCCAACCTACTTTAAAGCAGAGCGCAAAAATCACACTCTTCAATATGTAAACCGACAGAGGTAAATTAAATCCTTCTGCTCCCAGACTCAATATAACAAGAATATGATATTAAACAGGAATCATTATTCATGTTGTGGGTTGTTTTTATCTTCAATCCCAGGACACAAATCTACTGAGCCCAAGCATATAAACCTAGGACCCGTAGCTGCTAGGGGAAAAAAATTCTCACTGCTTTTTGGTCATATCTGCAGAATACAGGTCTAAAATTGTAGCGTTTTAGTGGCTGTCCAATATTCTCGAAAGGGACGTCAAACAAACAAACAAACAAGCAAAAAATCAAGTTATCCTCTGGTCCCAATTATGTCAATCCAATTAACAATTCTTTTATTCATTTTGATTAACGAATCATGTTCACAATCATGGGTAGGTAACATTATACTTTCATATATATCTAAATTGTAAAATATCTGTCGATGACTTTTCCATACATGGGTACATTCTTACTAAATTTGACATACCTCTTTTTGTTTCAGCAATGTGTAACAATTGAGCGTCTAGATTCAAACTTACAACTGTCTATTGTCTTGGGATGCATGGACTCAAAGGTTGGTATTCACATTACAAGAAGTCTAAGAAATAACATCACCAACATGACCAATCTATGATTATGTTGTTTTGGGTTACTACCTTTAGTTTATTTATCATGTTTATCAAAATCCCAAACGCTATACTATCGTTCACTATCAAATAAATGGAGCAGGAAACCGATGTTTGTTAGATTTTCAGACGTCTTGTGAACTAGATAGATCAGATTCTTCATGGACAAGAAATGTTAAATAAAGTCGTAGATTATTATTAAGATAAATTGAATTTACGAAGAATATCGGAACGGCTTTCAGTTTTATTGTTTGAGCATTGAAAAGACCTTCTAGATTTACTTAATATGCATGTAAATACAAAGATGATGATTTCACTTTTATCATGATTTAGGAATTATGAATTGAAAAAAAAAAATATTGTGGAGATGTTCGTGGAATGTTCAGGATTTCTTTTATTATACGTTGTCTATTCAATTCGTAACCATATATTGCCTTCACTATCAGTTAAATGAACAATGTAGATAAATATCTATCTATACTCTATTTATCTTAGAGTAGTCTACTTGTGTGTCAAGTTATACTGAAATCAAACCAAAACTGTAGGAGGAGTAGCGTTTTGAAAAAAAAATCGTTTACAGACAGACGAACAGACAGACATGTAGACAGACGACGGACAGCTTACTATCGCATAAGCTCTTGTGGTCTCTGACCAGCAGAGCTTAAAATTAATTATATTTAATTTTACATTTGTTTTAGATTTGTACTGCATACTTTAGCGGTAGAACAGGTGGTCCAGGAGGTTTTGGTAAGCGTCAGTTTGGTCAAACTACACTCAGGGGAAAATGTTGTGACAGTGATATGTGTAACGAACATGGTATTCAATAAATAGTCACTGAAAAAAATGTATCCTTTATTATATAAATGAAAATTCTGTTGAGTTCATTTCGTAACAGTAAGGATCCCTAATTACTTCTAATGAAATCATATGTATACCTAAACGCACTTAATCTGATTTTCCTTGATAATTACTTCAACACTAACAAGTTTAATTGTTAGAAGTTTCCTGTGATCTTTGTTTCTTAACAGAAGAATAGATGTATGAGTTCTTCCTGGTAAGTTGATCACATGGTCGGTATAGCTTCCTTATAGAAACATTAGAAGTGTCTTCGTTATTGTGTGTGAGCATTGACCTCTCTACTTCTGCATATAAAACTTGTTCTGACCCGGTTGTAGCTTTTTCCTTCTTTATTACCTCTGAATAAAAATTTATTTTTTTGCTATCGTATGGAGAATAAGAGTTGGCTGGTATTGATTTCGTGCCAGTTGATTTGTTTTTGTGTATTTCGGAATACAAATAATCAGTTTTTTCTTGTTCTTCTATCCCTTTGTTCTCAATGTCTAAGGATTCAGGTAGTTGGCTGTATGATTGAATGTTGGGGATAGCTGCATACATGACTGATATGCCACAAACGCCATTTGTATCATTAGAATTCATATTTAAATCGTTATCTTGAGATTTGTTTCCCCGAGGTCCTTCCTTTGTAGACTGGAAGTCCGTTTTGCTGAATTGCACTCCTTTGTCCGACTTTCCAAGTGAACCGCTGCAACAAAGAATTACAACCCTAACAAAATACAAAATGTACACGTATTTTGACTTCCGAACTGAATAAAATGTAGACTATATAATCGTCTGTAACTGTTTTGGTATTATATCCAGCAAATTACATATGTGCACTAACCTTAGTTTTCGACACAACACAACAGCGACTACAGTAACACTAATGAGAATTACGAGAGCAACAGGCACAACTATGTATAAAAATTTCGTGTCATCTGAAAGAAAACATAACATCGCATTTCTAATTTTAAGTAATTGTGTGTACGTTAAAGGTCTTTGTTTAAATATTTTTTGAATTTGAACAAATTTTATTTAAATCAATTTGTTGGAAGAAGTTTCCCAAAGAATATCCTTTTTTGATGTCCTTGGTAACACCTTAGTGTTTGTTTGTTGTTTAACGTCCCTCTCGAGAATTTTTCACTCATATGGAGATGCCACTACTTGCCGGTGGAGAACTGCAAATTTTGACCTATGCTGGGCACTCAGGGCCATTGAGCAGTGAAGGGTCTTTTTCGTGCTATCTCCTACTGCGACACGGGACCTCGGTTTATACAGCCTCATTCGAAGGACCGGTCTCCACGTCCCACAGTGGGATTCGAATCCGCGACGTAAGGATCAACTCCTTACTCCGCAACTCTAGAGCAGACGCTATACTACTGCGCCACGCGGGCGATTAACACCTATTATTAAACTTAATTAAATGACATCTGTGATAAATTATATTTTGTTTTAAACTTACTTGTAGTTTCCACAGATAGTGCGTTGTCCTCACCGAATGTCGGTTTTTCTGAAGATGTATTAGAAAGACCACCAGTAGACAGAATGGAAAATTCGGTCTTGATGGAAGAAAATTGGGTTGTTATGATTTCATCTGAAATTATTTTCTCTTAACTTGAGAGAGGACTTTTAATTGATTATCTTGAGGTATGAATTTCTGAGATTGAAAAACACGGAAACCATTCGTGTCTTTACTGAAACACTTTTAAGAAGGTCCAGTTTTGAGATATTTATTTGTTTCTGCTTATCACATGTAGCTCACCTAAAAAATTTTCAAGTGAACAATTAAAGTTTTGATTTGGCAACTTTTAAAAAAAATGCTTTATTCTCCAAAACTAATGAGACAAGTTCCTAAAATGAAGCATATTCCTCATACCAGGAAAGATTATAAACAATTCTACCACAATTATTGCCGAGATGAAAGAAATGCCGCGAACACTTTCGATCTCCAATAAATTACGAACGTCATCAAAGAATTATCAGATCAGAAAAACATGTCAAACCTGTACAGTTGAAATAAAAATTTCACTGTCGTCTTACACAGTCTAAACAGTGTATATTGCCTGAAATAGCTGATAAATATCTATTTTTGTAGCCAGGTGGGGTTGTTCCACGGACCTCCCTAGAACATTTACACTCAGTGATTTTACAGATAAAGCAATGAAATAGACGACTGATTTTGTTATTTTACATTCATAAAAACTAATCAATATATGTTACAAACAAATTTATAAATAATTAAAGGATATTCATAATCCAACTAAAGCTGAAATCATCTGCATTTTATGCAATCGATACACAAGTAAACAAACAAATTGACCCTCTGGTGTTAAATTGAAAAGCGACATAGTGATCTAATTCGTTTCTCTATCATATAATAGAGGAAACGATCAGCCGTATTTTAGAACTGTAAGTAGAACAGAATTAAAGTCTTTGTTGTCGTGAATGTTACTGGATAACATCATCGATCTCGAAATGTTGTCTGAAATATAAAAGCCTCGGCTAACGCCTCGGCTTTTATATTTCAGACAATATTTCTCGACCTCGGAGGTTATCCTGCAACATTTACGATAACGCGGACTTTATTTCTTAAATCGTTTAATCAGGGAATGGCTTTTAAATAAAAATTCTCCTAAAAACATAAGGTTGAGAAATAAAGGAATAAGTCTGTTCAAACCATGCTCCAAGGACTAAAATGGAGTCTTTCTTCTAAATGGGAGTGAAGATTAAACTATCGTCAAAGATCTTCCTGTCCAGAAGAGAAAGAAATTAAAGAAAGGAGTGAAATTTATATGCCAGCAATTCCTTGTGGGGTAGCTTTAAGATTTTTTGATTCGGGGTTCGTGGGGTAAGATGGGACTATAGCAGGGGATAAAAATGCATATTTAAAAAATCCTTTATTTCAAAAAGAAAACCAAATGACAAGGCCACGATTTGTAAACTTTAATTAAAGAAAATCATTACAAACCTTCGTGCAGATACATGTGTTTACATGTATATATATGTAAGAAAGAGAGGATGAACGCGTTGGCCATGGAATTGTGTGTACTTAATTGTAGTTAAAATAATGCTTATGTTAGTGTCACATTAAGATCTAAGGTTTAAATAGGAAAATACAAGAAGTAGTTCTGTAAAAAAAACCAACATTACTTAAGCTTGTTAATTGGCATATAGAGTAGATTGTTCTGGAAATGGCTTTTATGAAATAAAGAAAGAAAGTACATAGGAATGCAAATGTACAGGATGTAAAAGTGTACACATAAGAAATATCTTTTAAAATTTTTCAGATTATCATATTGCTCAGGCAACTATTTACACACGTTTCTGGTAGTGTTTTCATAATTTCCTTTAATAATGACCCTTGGGCTAGAGGGTAGAAAATATTTAAATTAGTAAAAATGAAAATTTTGAACAGCAAACAATCATTACAAATTAAAGGATAAGGGAAAAAACATGTTTGTTTTTTTTGTAAATAAAAATTATTATCAATAATCTGCTATAATCCTTAAAGAGACACCGTGACGGAAAAACGGGAAAATTGACAAAAGTACATTTACATTTTGCAGTCTTTTCTTGCTTATACCGTGCAGTTGAGATATCAAAACGTCGTTCATATTTTCCCCCCACAAATCTTTAGCTTTATGATACAAATATCTTAAAAGAGACGCATGATATTGACTCACTATGTAATTTTAATTAAAAATAGGAAAGGTACTGAAGTATTTAAAAAAATCTGCAGACACCTCAAAACATGACAAATGGTCTTTCCATCACGATCAAAAATGACTCGGTAATTTTTCCGCAAACTCTGAATTGTTTAACTTAGTTTAATAAGAAAAAAAAAGTCAGCATAAATTTGAATCTTTGGTCAAGTTTCCCAAATTATCAAAATAGCAAGTCAGCAGAACAAATGCAAAATAAGAACAGAATTATCAGCTGACCTTTATAGATTTTATTGATATAGAGCATTGTCTAACAAATCAAACCTCCAGGTTAAGATTTTATTCCCCATAGACCAAGTTTCATACAAAATGTTGCTTTGATAAATATTCAATCAGGTCAAGACCAGTTCCAGGTGGACCCAAAATTGTAAAAACCCCAAAGTCACATTTCTTAGATGACTGTCAAGGCTCATGGAACTTTAAGTTTATTTTATCTGGCATAAAATACACTTTATATTAATTAAGCTTTTGAGACCAAACCCGGTGTGTTTAATCAAAACCCTGGTTATTCAGTCAGTCTCTGTACAAGGCCTTGTTTGACATGAGTTGAAGAGCCCGGCAAGCCAAGATCATTGATTCTGTGGACTTTCTGGGCAATCCCCCGCAAGCATATTAAATGTAAGTACTACACATTTATTTTATTTTCATTTAAATTCCTGGGATATTGAATGCGGCAACATGAAATAATTATAAATAAAAGAGGTGGAGATAACGAACAGTGATTATTCTCGTAACTCACGAAAAAGAATAAGAATCCTTATCAGTGCAAAAAAAAAAGACTCCTGGAAACAATAGCGGTCACACCGTAACACCTTCTTATTCTGATCCCTTAGATTTAAAAAGAATAAACAGAAACTTTGAAATAAAAATGATAAGAAAGGGAAATGGAATATAGAGCCCGTGTTTATTTAATTTTTCTGTAGCTATTTAATAACAACGATATCAATATAAACATTAAAAATTATTCTTACGTTGATACTTATTAATTTCTATGACTGTGTGTTTTATCAGTTATTTTCATTTAAATATACCTTACCTTTACTAGTGTCCTTGGATTTACGTGTAAGACTTAGCGTGGAGTGTTTGGAAGAGACAGGGTTGATCGTTGATGATTGCATTAGTGTGGAATGTTTGGAAGAGACAGGGTTGATCAATGATGATTGCATTAGTGTGGAATGTTTGGAAGAGACAGGGTTGATCTTTGATGATTGCATTAGTGTGGAATGTTTGGAAGAGACAGGGTTGATCGTTGATGATTGCGTCAACGTTGATACA